GCTTACCAGAAAGAACAGCCTCCGCCCTCCCAGCAGAGCCAGTCTTGTAGGCTGAGAAGCCTCTAACACACGTGAAAAGGCAGAGCTGCTATATAATAGAGAATTGTCTTCTAATAGCGCTGTACAGTATTAAATTACACTTAAACTAGGGCTGGTCTTCAAGCTTCTGAAGTGAAATTTATTTCCCAAAAGTTCAACAGATGTTTAGAAGAATATGGGAAATTTTATTCTTGCAAATGCAGTCATACTGAGGAGCCTTTAACCTCTTTTTTTAAAGAACATATGAGAATACTTCCTAGATATTTTAGCACTAAGAGCATAGTGAAAAGCAAACATTTCATTTGAGAAGTAAGCTCTTTATACGCTGATGAGACAAGAAATTCATCCTAATTCACATTTTAGGACCAAGCAATAAAAAAGCTCACATGTTTAGAAGACTGAGGAGGCTCAAGTCCCTGCTGAAAGTAATTTGGGATGCTTTTGTTTCTAAACCGGGCTTGGAATCACCAGGGCCAGAAACAATGATATTTGATATTAGCAGAAAGATATATCATTGAGTGTTTTGCTCTTCCTGCTTATAAACAATTTGCGTTGGATTATCTTTAAACAAAATTTTCTGATTTCTGCAATAGAATCCTCACCAAACAAAAATTAAACAGAAAAAAATTCTAGTAGTCTACAAAGCCCACGCTGCCTTGTCCACACTCCAGAATGTTTTTCGTCTCGGGTAACATTTTCAGAAGTATCTAACTGAGGAGCTCACCTCACCTGAATTTTACATCTGTGTCCTGTGTCCCTCAGTGAAGACACATTCAGAGGGGGTTTATTCTGTCCCTCAGGCACCTGACCCATGTCACTTCCTCAACATGCTTCTTGTCTTACTTCACAACCTATGAGGGACCTTGGACCTCTAAAATATTAGAGTCCTAGCCTTGTTTGTGGCTCAGTGTCTTTCTATTATATCAAGTCTCTCATCTCAGATTCATAAGGTCTATCTCGGATGTTCCTGCAAGATGTATAATTTATTCAGCTACCTCAGGTTTTCTGTGCCTGGTTGGAACCATAGCAGTGGGGAGCGCTGCAGATCTAATGCCCCCAAAAAGGCCCTCCACTGCTGGCAGACTCAGAAATAACTCTACCCTCCCACTGTTTAGGATGGTCACTTCTGCTCAAATTTTTTTCTCACAATATGTTTTTTTTTTAAATTGGCTTCATGTTCCTTTTTTCCCGGGACAGTGCAACTTCATTTTATCAGATTCTGTCAAACTTTTGCTTCCTGTCCAACTGAACGAAGCTTCAGTGATAAACATTCCTACCAGTTTTGCTGCCATTGTTTCCTGGTGCTTGGCACTGAGACTCACAGCTAAATACAGGATAAGAGTTGTCCTGGTTTCGTCCAGGAGAGGTGAGAAACAAGGGACTCAAGATGCTGCTGGGCCAACATCTTTTGATGTTCTTTAATTAGACCATTTTTTCCCAACCTCAGAGGCCACAGTTTAGAATCATTTAGAAGATTTTCCAGTTATCCCAGCATCTGTAATAATGCTGCATACAATTTACAAACCATATATCATAAGAAGCACTCACTATATGTGTGCATTTTTATCGAGTGTACAGTTTTATTGCCATGACTTTTTTATAAAAGCACACGTGACCCTTGAACAATATTATCAACAGCAGATTCAGCAGCAGTGTCCTTGTGCTGCTTTCCCCTCTGCACAAACCTTTTGTCAGTCTGAGGGAGTTTTTCCCGTCCATTCTCCCCTCCCAATAGCCAATTGTTTTCCTACTGTTTTTACTACACTGAGAAGGATTATTTTTACTTGCTATTAATTTGTCTTTACATCCATCGAATCGAGTTTGATTTTACTCCTCTGTACAAATATTTTCCACTGAGAGGATGATGGCCACTCCTGAAAGCATGCCTTAGCAAAGCACCCTCCCTGGGAGCACCCAGCGTCCCATTGACTGCTGTAGGGTGTTCATGTGCTTAAGTCTAGGCTGGTGCTTTAGATATTTTGTTCATTTAGGTCTGTTTGCCACTGAGACAAAGTAAATACAACGTGAGGGGGCTCGCACTCCCCAGTCCCGTCCAGCTAAACGCTTGCAGTGAGCACTTCCAAGAGCCTGATATTTCAGTAGAAAGAACATCGTGTGATCTCCAGCGCTGACAGTGAGATTGGCCCTTTCTTCCCTCATATGCAATGATTTTGATCACGCCTGCAATGCTGTTGGCTGGATAATCTGCTAGTTTCTCCTTTCTTTTCTTGTCCAAAGCTGCTCTCACGTACAAGTGCACAGGCGACCAGTGGACAGTGTACTGCAGGGTGATCCGGGAGAAGAATCTGTGCCAAGACATGCGGTGGTACCAGCGCTGTTGCCAGACTTGCAGAGACTTTTACGCAAACAAGATGCAGCAGAAGAGTTAATGAACCTGTGCTACTTCTTAGGGTGTTACAGCTATTTGTATGTAAATCACGGACTAGTAGGTCTGAGTACTGGAACTTCATGAGTTGCTACAATGTGGTGGATTCCAAAGCATACCTAGTAAGACTTGAAACTAATTCTACAGACTGGATACCAAAGCAATCCACTCATCCACCTTAAAAAAACAAAAAACAAAAAACAAAACAAAACAAACAAAAAAACAAAAACAAACAGAAAGAGTCATCTCAAGGAGCCAATCATTTTATGGTATTTTGACATCCTTACATTTTTCATTAATGCTTTTTACTTTAATATATTAAATCACCAGCCACTGGATGGCTTGCTACCATTAAAGAAAAGGACAAGAGTTGCAAAGTGATTACATTGACTAAGGTTATGAGTACCTCCATGGAGGAAGGCCTCTGGCAAAATAGTTCAGCAAAGGTAGAGACATTACTTAATCTTTTAATCTTGACTTTCATCTGTTGTTTTCAATTCCCAACAGTTATCCCACTGTGGAGTGGGCTTGGAGGGACACACGTAAATGAAAGGCTTAATTTAAAGAGAGGTTTTGCTGTAAAAGCTTGTGAAAACTGATAGCAGAGGATGAACATCTCTGAAATTCCTGCAGAAGGCTCAATACAATTATGTCCAACAGTCCAAGTCATATTTTTTAGAGCAACTGATAGAGACTGCTCTTCTTTCTAATTTTAAAAAGCAATCTTATCTCTCTTTTCTCCAGAATAATGTGGTTTCTTTTATGAAACCTAATTTTTCTGTGAGCTTGATGAAATGGAAGCTTATTAACAGCAGCAAATAGTTATTTTTAAGCAAGAACCATTTACATGAGATGAGAGAAACCAGCAATCATTTCATCCAGTAGAGCTCACTGAGGGATTGCTATTGCTTGGCCTAATCTTTCTCCAGTTTTTGGAAGTCGATCAGATAATGGACTTTTTTCAGAGGACCATGAAACTGGATAGGATTGGTACAGAAACAGCATTTGGAACAACCTTTGTGTGAAGGATGGAGTGGAGAGCAGACAGGTGTTTCCTATCTCTTGGCATACATCTGAGGTTATGTAGCCTTTTGAGTCAAAAGTAGTCAGTGATACAAGACATTCAAAGTGAAATCTTGAGCTTATTGAAGCCATAAGGCTGAGACTTCCATTGCCTTCAGTAAGGGTTAGGATTTTGCTCACTGTATTTTAATGCTTCCTGTGGTGCTATCTGGTTTGGTGCTATCAGGTTGGTGCTATCAGAGCACTTAGCAAGTGCTGCATATGATACTCTCTTCCATGTCTCTGCACTTTAAACCAGACTCCTTTCTGAGATGTGAGACTTGAAACAGGAGCTCTAGCCAGGGCAGAGTTTGTCCCCTCCGTTAGTCCTACAGATCAATGTCTCTCTGTCATATCTTGCTCCAACATGTATCATTTCCCTTGCCAGGGTCCAAGGTCAGTTGTGCAGTGGTTAAATTACAGCCCACTCCTCATGATACGGAGACGTTTGGATGAATTGCAGCTTTGTACTCGCTCTAGAACTGCGTGTGACTGTTTTATTCTTTGGAGATGAGTGTAGAACTAAGCCCAGCTACTGCCCCCAGCCCCTGGGCCAGTCTGGATTGCAGCTCACACTTCTCCTCAAATTGTCTTTGTTGCTGTTGTCTCTTTTTTCTCAATGCAAGGAGGGATAAAGACTCTTAGTACCTAACATATCTTTAAAGCAACTTTTTATTCCTTATTACAATCCTTTCAATATGCAGGACCTCACTGGAATAACTCATTAGCATTTTATTAAGGGCTAAGTTTTTCAAGCACAGGGAGCTAATGTTCACCAACAGACTAATACTGTGTGGGCTTCACGTTCACGTCTGTGCTTAGTAGTGCAAATGAGTGTGTGTGCACACAAGGGCTGACCTGTATGCGCAAAGGCACGTTTGCACACAATTTTTTCTCAAGTGCCTGTCTCAAACAGATCTGCTTTCCAACGCCCCAGATGATTTTCTCTACCAGGGAAATGATTCAAACTTGGGTTTTGTTGTACTGGATGTTCTTTTGGCATCTTATAGTCAGGACCAGACCTCCTTCTTCTCTTATTCCCACCCTGTAGCCCAAATGCAGAGGTTTTGTAACTATTTAGCAAGTAATTAATGTAAAATGTTGCTGGCAGGACTGACAGGGGAAGATTTAGGCAATGCCACAGTGATGTTCAGTTAGGTAAATTAATAGAATAGGTAGATGAACTGCTAATGAGGAAGTACCAAAAGGTCAGACAGAGCCCGGAGAACCTGAATTATATTGGTAATTCACAGTGGTGGTTTTCCCCCCTGCTGGCTGTCATACTCTGCAGTAACACAGCCCTGCCTGTACAGCAAGGCTGTGACTGTCCTTGCTGCCCCCCTACCACCACAGCCACCTCACAGCAGTCTGGCTGAGGTGGGTCCCCTTACATCCTTCACTGGGTTTGGGGTTCGCTGGTTTTCTTCCGATGGGCGGCATTTGCCCAGGAAGTGGCCTGGCCCGATGAAACGCCACCCCCTTGCTGATCGTTTGTGGCGTTACTAATACTCACGTTAGACTGTTGAAGGATTGGCCAGTAGGCTTCTCAGTTATCTTGGAATAAAAGTGTGTTTGGTTATTATGATTGAGAATCAAAGGTGCTTTTAAATAGCAAGGGTCATTTTTCCTTCCGGTGCTGATCTGTCACCTTCTCTAGGCAAAAGGTGGGCTCCTAGAAAGGTGCATAGGAGACAAAGGATTTTAATTCTTATGTTTTTCACTAATAATTCATTGCTGTCTGCTGTTCAGGACAGGATACTAGGCTAGTTAGACCTGTGGCCTGTCCCAGTATGCTGGGTCTTGGACTTCAAAAGACATTTGGGTCCAAACTCTGGGCCTTACCTAAGGAAACATGAATTTACAAGGAATTCTTTGGAATGTCTGAGCACTGAAAAAACCACCTCACTTGCTCTCACAGCCCACAGATTAGCGTGCATCAACCTTTTTTTTTTTTTTTTTTACAATCAGAAACCAATATTAATTAAAAACTGATGGCACAACACAGCTCCATTTTATTACATTCTCTTACTTGATATGGTGACAACCTTCCCGTTTTATAGTAGCCAGAAAAATAATGATAATTAGAAAGTTTAATTCTGTTCAATAATCCTGCACTTCTGTTTTATATCACTTTAGAGGAGCTTTACTATGAATTTACAGCTATGCTCTGCCCTCAGTTACTACATACTGGTGAAAAGAAAGCTGTTTGTTTCCATGTATCTATGACAATACTTCTTTTAGTTGTTCATAAGAAAGTGACGCTCTTTTGATTACAGTGGTGGTATTTCCATATTGTAAACAATACTCTGTACTGTTACTAAAGTACTGTACGATTCTAGTTGCACAATTGTGTTATTGAGTGTAGATTCTCACTATCTCATGTATGGTGCTATTTTTTGTTGATGGAAAAGAATCTTAGCAGTCGATTATTGCTTGATATTTTATTATAATACAGGGATATATTCTCCATGGCAATAATATCATTTAAGTTTTTCATTACAGAGTGAAATGTATATATTTTTCCATTAGCTAATTTGCATATGTACTGTATCCATGGTAATTTTCTTTTTGGTGCTGGTTATAAGCAGAAAAGATAAAAACAGTCAAACTGAATGGAACCAGTTGTAAATGGAAACCAAAAAAAAAAAAAAAAAAAAAAAGAGGATCATTCCATTTTGAAAAAAAAAATGAGTATGTTGAATAATAAATTTATTTTTTCCACAACAACTTTAATAAGGTTTCTGAACTTGACAAAAAAAAAAAAAAATACAAGGCAAACCAAACAGCTAATGTGAAAATTAGAGAGAAAGGAGTGAAGCTGTAAGCAGTACATTATGCATCTGTCTAATACTGGATTGAAACTGGGATTCAGTTAAGTCTAGGCCAACTGTTTGATAGCTGTGGTAGTTGCAAAAGGTGGTTCGTTACTGAAATTCTGGCATCTCAGAGTTCCCAGTGTGCTAACAAATCAAGAAATGATGGGTCTTGTCCCGGTCAGGTTGCAAAATAAAGCACAGGGAATGTTAATACCTGATTAACGTCTTGCAAGGTCTGTGGTCAGTGACACAAAGCAGAAAATGCCTGTCTGGAAAAGTGAGCCAGGCTCCGTGTGGGGCATCGCTGTGTGTGCCTGGGCAGGCTGTGGGGAGCCGAAAACTCACGCGTGGGGAGAGGGGCGTTTTGCAAGTGCTTTTGAGAAAGGTTGCTTTCCATGTCTGTTGAAGCCGAGTTGAAGTGGCAGCTTGCTCTGTGTTTAATGGTAGCTGCTCCGCAGGCGCAACCAGATAATAAAGGCTACTGAGCATGTGGAAATTTATATTGGAGCAAAATTATCCCATCCATTGGAAAGGTATCTACATAACCTAGCTGCACACTTCCCTGGTGTGAAATAAACAGAATTACTTCAGTGCCAAGTGTTCTGGATGTCTTTCTTGTAGGCATTAGCCAGAGTCTTTGTACAATTTAATTCCTCCCTCAGCATGGTGAAGATGTTTTTTGCAGACAGTTGCACACAGATATGCCTGTAGGATCCTCTCTCCTCCTGTCTTACAAAGATGCCATCATCTATATCCCATTCCAGCTCAATTCTTGTTAAAAGGACACTTCTTGGAGATGGGAGCAGCACCTTTCTAAAGCAGCCTTAAAAACAAGCCAAAGTACAGTTGGTGTGAGAGTCCTCCACCCAAAATTGTTTCCAGAAATTGAGTTTATATTAAAAATAGAACTCATTTACTGATCTCACGCTGGTTTCTTGGTAATGGCACAGCACTGATAGGCTTCCTAGTTTTCAGAGGTAGCCTTAGGAGATACCAGTCCAGCTGCAATCATACATACGACTGTTAACAGCAGCAAAATTACAGAAACTCCATCCAAGTGTTGCTGTATATTAACACATCATCGTGTTTGTGTATTGCCTGGAGTCAACATATGATTGCAATTGTTGACCTGTTTAAACGATAAAACATAGCTGTAAGCTGTTGGAAGCCAAAAGGCTTTACGCTAAGCTGGGATGTGGCAATGGGTGGGAGGGGTGTAAGGAATGCTATCATACATTGGCTTGAAATTTCCCTGGTGTGTGCCAATACCTCTTCTATAAATCCGGTAGGCTTATATACTTAGTTTGCCTATTTTGCATGTAGTAGTTTGCTGGTTTTCTCTTATTTCTAATCTGCATCATCTAACCAAGAAACCAGATGATTTGAAGGAATCGTCCTTCCCTGTGATCTCAGTTTTTATTTAAGACACCTCAGCCAAGATCATTAAAGGCAGCTGGGGTCAGATGGCTCTGGTGCTCTGACATAAAAGTACCAGGAGAAAAGTATTATCTCTCTTCAGCTTCTTGGAGGTCGAATCTGCCTCCGCCAACTCCACCTGCTTCCTTCACTCTCTTGCAAGTCCTGGTGTACAGGGCAGCCTTAGCTCTCTTCATCCCTTGCAGCAAGCTAGCAGGACCCTGCTTTCTTTGGAAGAAAATTTCTTTCCAAAAAGCTCAATATGGGTCACCTTACCCCAGCATCAGCCCCATGCATTGCCCAGAGTACTACTGTTGGAGGACCTTGCTCTGTTGGTAGAGTGAAAACCACATGTTCCTTTGTGCTTTCCCCAACACCACATGGTCCATTGGGAAAGGTATCTTTTCCACTTACTGAAGTATTGGCACAAACACCAATATGCTGTAGAGTTCCAGGCGGAGAAGAAC